CCCCCTGATGCATAAACTGAAGTATGGAGACATTAAATAACTCGTCTAGGATGACATAGCTAGTAAGTGTTTGAGGTGGGATCTGAACCCAGGGCGTCCTGAGTCCCAGTCCTATGCCCTATCTACTACACCATGCTGACTCTCAAGTCAACAGTTACCTCTGCTCTTGAGTCACTCCCCCAATTTTCCTGTCATTGCTCATTTCCTGACCCACCTCAACCCTAGATTATTCCCATTAACCACGTTCTCCATTCCTTCTTGTGGTCTGCTGATGAGAGCCAGAGAAAGTCATACAACCATACCGACGAGGCACCTGATAAATTCAAGTTAGCCAGTTTGAGTGGGGCCCTCACAGCAGCAAGGGAGCCCCTTGGTCCTTCCTTCCTGACTCCCTGCATCACTCCCCACAGAAGCTTCTCTAGCCTGCTCTTCCCTGCTCCAGTCTTCCACTTTTCCCCCTCCCTGCTCTCTCAGATGAGGACCTCTCCTCTTCACTGAGAAAATGGAGGCAATTCAACAGAACCCCTCTTTTTTCTTCTTCTCTTCATCTCAGGACCCCCTTGATAATCCCCTACTCTCTTCTCCTTTCCTCCAGTCTCTGACAATGAGATGATCCTTGTCTTTGCCAACTCCACACACTCCACATACACATTTTATTCTATTCCCTCCTGCCTGCTCCAACAAATTGCAACCTTAATCATCTTTTTTTCTTTTGAACCTTCAACCTCTCCCTGTTAGAGGCAGCTAGGTGGTACAGTAGAGAGTTCACTGGACCTAGAGTCAGGAAGACCTGAGTTCAAATCCAACCTCAGATACTTTCTAACTATGTGAGCTGAAGCAAATCACTTAACCTCTATTCACCCAAGTTTCCTCATATATAAAGTGGGGATAATTATGACTTCTTCCCAAGGTTGTTGTAAGGTACAAATGAGTTAATATTTATAAAAAGTGTTTTGCAAAGCTTCAAATGCTAGCTATTTTTATCTATTGATTCCTTTCTTACCACCTTCAAACATGCCCTCCAAGTCTCTCCCATCCTTAAAAAACCTTAACTAAAAGCTCTTGTTTCCTATTTTCAGCCAAATTCCCAGAAAAAATGCAATCTACGATCACAGCCTCTACCTCTCTCAAACACTTCTCAACCTCTTGGAATGATCTAGCTTTTATCCTCATCACTCAACTGAAAGTAATCTCTCCCAAATGACTAATTATCTCTTAATTGCCATTCTTTTCTCAATTCTCATGCTTCTCACCTTATCTGCTACATGTGACTATGCTGGCCACCTTCTCTTCCTGGGTACTCTCTCCTCTGTGGATTTTCGTGATACTTCCCCTCGCCTGGTTCTCTTCTCTTCCCTGTATAGCCACCCCTGCTTCATCTCCTCTGCTGGTTCATCATCCATATCATGCTTCTTAACTGTGGCCATTCTGTCTAAGGCCCTCTTATTTTCTCCTTCTCTCTCTCTCTCTCTTTCTCTCCCTCCCTCTCTCTTTCTCTCCCTCCCCCTCTCTCTCCCTCTCTCCCTCCCCCTCCCTCTCCCTCTCTCCCTCTCTCCCCCTCCCTGTCTCCCTTCCTCTCTCCCTCTCTCCCCCCACCCCTCCCCCTCCCTCTTTCTCTCGCTCTCTCTCCCCCCCTCCCCATAACCTCATGGGCTCCAATGAGTTTATTATCTCTATAATTATGACTCACAGATGTATATATCTGGCCCCAGTCTTTCCCATGAACTTCAGTTTCACTGTATCACTTACCTATGGAACATTTGAACTGGATGTGTCTCAAATTCAGACATGAAACATCTCAAATTCAACATGTGCAAAAACAACTCTTCCAATCATCCCTGTTTCTGTCAAAGGCACCACCATCCTTCTAGTCATCCAGATTCATTTCCTCAGCGTTATACTAGACTCACTCTCCCTCAAATCACACGTCCACTGAGTTGTCATTTTTATCTCCACAACATCTTACATCTGACCCCTTCTCTCTATTCACACAGCGCCATCTTAGTTAGGGCCCTCCACAGCTCTTACCTAGATATTGCAACAGCCTCCTGGTTGATCTCCCTGCCTTATCTTTCCCCACTCAAGTTCATCTTGCATACTGCTGCTAAAGTAATTTTCCTTATGTGAAGATCTGACCATGTTACTCCCCTCCCTAATCTACTCCATTAGCTCCCTGTTGCCTCTAGGATCCATAACTCCATTTAGCTTTTAAATCCCTCACAACATGACCCAACCTATCTTTGCAACTTTATTGTATATTATTTCCCATCTCACGCTCTACAACCAGCCACATTGGCTTTATCTCCATTCCTCTCACATGTCACTCCATCCCCAGTCTCTGTCTCTGCCTTTGCATGAACATCCTCATGGCCAGAATGCCCTCCCTCCCATTTCCATCTCATAGAATTCCTCTCCTCCTTCAAGACAAAGCTCCAAAGCACCACCTCCATGTAGAAGGTGTCCCAACTGCTAGCAGCCTCTCTCCCAAACTACCTTGCATTTAACTACTTTGCATTTATTAGAATTCATTATATTTATTCTGTATATACACATATGTGTGTGTATCTATATGTGTATTTATTTATTTGTTTGTTTTTGTTGTTCATCTCAGTCAAATGTAAACTCTTTGTAAGTAGTTGTTTTATTGTTTATTATCTGTTTCCCCAGCACCAGAGGGTGTCTGGCACTTAGCAGGTTCTTAATAAATATTTGGGCAGCTAGGTGGTACGGTGGATAGAGTGCTGGGCCTAGAGTCAGGAAGATCTGAATTCAAATCCAGCCTGATACTTACTAGCTGTGTGACCTTGGGCAAGTCACTTAACCCTATTTGCCTCACTTTCCTCATCTGTAAATGAGCTGGAGAAGTAAATGGCAAATTATTCTAGTATCTTTGGAAGAAAACCCCAAAGGGATCACGAAGAGTCAGATATGACTGAAACGACTGAACAACAACAATAAATACTTGCTGATTAATTGCTATTGATTAATAAGTATAGTTTCTTATATGGGTCCAGTGATGGACTTTATGTCTATAGTCTGAGACCCAGCTAGCTAAATTCAGAGGGGTCCATCATCAGATTGGCTCCAAGGTGGTGAATTTTTCAGCTACAGCTACTCAAAGACAATCTGGTAAGATAAAGAGGAAATGTGATACATAGGAAATACTCACATGACAAAGTTACAGCTCCAAGAGACATTGAAATATAAATGCAAAGTGTTGTAGGAGTTTGGAGAAGAAGGCAATCTCAAAGGGCTAGAGGAGTCAGGACAAGCTCTGTGGAGGAGGTAGGACCTAAGTATGTTGTGCTTTGGAGGATTTTAACAGGTAGAGGAAAGGTGAGAGTAGGGCCCAGTATTCCAGCTCAGGAGACAAGTATGAGCCAAAGCACGGAAGCTTATGCCAGAAATGGTCTCCTCCTTTTTCCCTTGGGGAATTCCTATCCATACTTCACATACCACCTACTTCCCTGATGCCCAGGACCTGACATAACACATTATTTTATAATCTTTTGACACTTTAATGTGATATTGTGTAATTATATGTATTTGTTCTATCTCCCTTTTAATTGCAAGCTTCATGAGAGCAGAGATTGGGTGTTATCTAAACTTTGTATCTATTCCAATGCCTAAGACATACAGTAGACAACAAATACTTATGGAATTAATGAATGCAGTTACTTAAATCTCTGGTTTAAGTATTGACCTCTCTGTAGGAGTTTACACTGCTGACTACCTCCTCCTTCTGGACACTTTCTCTTCCCTAGATTTTCAAGATATCATTCTCTTATGGTTACCCTCCTACCTGTCTAGCCATTACTTCTCATTCTTCTGTAGTGGATCATCATCTGTGTCCTACCCACTAATGTTGGGGATCCACTTGGTTCTGTCTTTGGCCTTCCCTTTTCTTTCAATAAGCCCTTGGTGATTCCATCAGCCCCCATGGGTTCAGTTACCATCTCTATGTAGATGACTCCCAGATCTATGTATTCAGTCCATCTCTCTCCTAAGCCCCAACCCCTTATCATCAGTAACCTATTAGACATTTCAAACTAGATGTCCCAGAGGCATCTCAACCTCAATCTGTCCAAAATAGAACTCTTTTATCTCTTACCCAAATCCATCCTTCTTCCTAATACACCATAGCTTTCCAAATGCCTAGTCTGGCAAACTCTGAATCTTCCTCAACTCCTGACCCTTCCTCACCCTCTATATACAATCAGTTGCCAAATCTTGTTGGTTCTGTCCTTACAATAAATATCTTTCTAGTGTCTCCCTTCTCTTCATCCATATGGCCACCACTCTTGCTTAGGCCTTTGTGACCTCTCCCCTGGACTCTGCCACAGCCTCCTGATTGGCTTCCCTGTCTCCACCGGTCTCCTTCCTGCTCCATCTATCTTCCACACTGCTGCCACATTGAGATCGCCACAGCCGCGATCTGACCATATCACACCCCTGCTCACAAAGCTCCAGTAGCTCCCTGTTGCCTCTAGGATAAGATTCGGATTCCCCTGCTTGTGGTTTAAAGGCTCTCCCAATTTACTTCAGCCTACATTTCTAGGCTGATTGTTCATTACTCCCTTTCACATACTCTGTGCTAACCGTTCTACCTGTTATTCCTAGTATGTGACGTTCCCTCTCCCATTGCTTTGCCTTTGTGTGGATTAGGCCCCATCCCTGGGAAGCCCATCCCATCCTCCTTCCTCTCTGCCTCTTACAGGTTCAGTTCCTCCAAGGCTCCAGTCAAGTCCCTTTGCTAAAAGAGGCCTGTTCTGATGCCCCAGGTCTTAGTGCACTTCCCCACTGAAATGACTTTCTGTCTACTTATAGGTTGTTCCCCCCAGTAGCCGATAAGCTCCTTGAAGGCAGAGACTGGATTGTTTCAGTCTCAGTGTCCTTAGCACCTAGCACGATGCCTGGCGCACGAGGAGGCTTATTACTAAGAGCTTATTGAATTGAATGGACTGACACCACTGACTAGCAGGACTTGGCCTGTTTTCTAGGTGCGAGTGTCCTCCTGGCTATAGCGGGAAGCTCTGTGAGACTGATGATGACGACTGTGTGGCCCACAAATGTCGTCACGGGGCCCGTTGTGTAGACACGGTCAATGGCTACACCTGCATCTGTCCACAGGGCTTCAGGTATGTGTGGGGGAGTGTATTGTGGGGAGGGAGAAGATCAAGGCCAGACTGGAAGGGGCAGTGAGGCTGATTAATGACCAAAGGAAAAAAATGCTCATAAGAAAATGCACTGACTCTGGGGACTGTTACCATGACACCTTGCGTTCCTATACTGTGTTTATTTTGAAGACGATCATCACAATAACCCTGTGAGGGAGGCAGGGCAGAGCTCGTTAGACCCGTTTTGTAGCTATGTAGAAGACGCAGGGCAAGCGCTGGGCTTGACATCAGAAAAGCCTGAGCTCAGATCCCACACCTACTGCGACTTCCTAGCTATGCGCCCTGAGCAGATTGCTTCCCCTGTGTCGGTGCCTCAAGCAACTATCTGGGCCTTTCATGATAAGTCAGAAAGAGGTTGTGACTACAGTGATGGAGGGAGTTCCACAGCCTGATGGAAATCACAGATCCTTCATTTATCCATGTGTTTTACAGCTGGTGAAAACGTTTTGACCAAGCGCATAGCAAAGAGACGTTAAAGCTAGGATTGGAACCCACGTTTTCTGACTATTGAGCCTGGGTCACATGATGCCATGGAATGGCACTGTCTTGGAGTCTAGTAAGAACAAAGCCAGGATGACATACCAAAGTTTCTCACTAAAATGCAAGCTCTCTGAGGGTAGGGACTGTCTCCTTTATTGTATGGATATTTCCAGAACTTAGCACAGTGTCTGGAATATAGCAGCTGCTTAATAAATGTTTGTTGATAGATTAGCAGAAGCCATTCTCCCAGCTCCATGAATGAGAGCCCATATTTCCATGCTTCCTTTCTATCCAATGACCGTAAGTATGTCTGTTTGTCTCTGGGACAAAGGAAATAACAAATGGGAAGGGTAATAATTAGGAAAGCTCAGACCTTAGAGATGGAGTAAGCAAGGGTCAGGGCAGTTCACTTTGGGGAGAAGCAGAAGTTGAGGAAGGAAGAGGAGCTCAGACAACACTTAAAAGAGGCCTAGGAATGGCAGCATCTGAGTGGTATGCAGAGATGTGCAAATTTGTATGTAAATTAGCATTCATCCAAGAATTGAAGAAGAATAGAGCTGGAAGGGTCACTAGAGATCATCTAGTCCAACCCTTTCATTTTTCAGAAGAAGAAACTGAGGCCCAGAAGGTAAAGTGATTTGCCTAAGATCACATAGCTGGGCAGAAGGAGTCAGAAGAACCTGAGTTCAAATCCAACCTCAGACACTTTACTAGCTGTGTGACCCTAGGCACATTACTTTTTGAGGCAATCAGCCTCAAAAAAAAAAAAGCCAGGAGAAGAAGCCAAGTGTGCCAACTTCCTATTCAGAGGTATTTCTTTTCCACATGGGGGTTCTGGTTGTCGTTTGGCCTAAATTTGTAATTTTGGCAGAGTAAAGACATTTCTCCTGCAGATCAGCAACTTAAAGCCTTAAAAATTTCCTAGTGCCCTTAGAGGTGAAGCAACTTGCCTAAAGTCACATAACCAGAATGTGTCAGAGTCAGGACTTGGAACCAGGCCTTCCTCCCTCCAAAGTCAGTTCTCTGTAGCCAACACCACACTGTCTGTGGCGGCACCATCTTTAAAGCCAAGCTCCGGGGTCACTGTGCAGAGAGCTTTCTGACCTCAAGTTCCTTCCTCCCCCACAGTGGTCTATTCTGTGAGCACCCACCACCCATGGTGCTGCTGCAGACCAGTCCCTGTGACCAGTATGAGTGCCAGAACGGGGCCCAGTGCATTGTGGTGCAGCAAGAACCCACCTGTCGCTGCCTCGCTGGCTTTGCTGGGCAAAGGTGTGAGAAGCTCATCACGGTCAACTTTGTGGGCAAGGACTCCTACGTGGAGCTGGCCTCTGCCAAGATCCGACCCCAGGCCAACATCTCCCTGCAGGTAGGTACATACCCTGGAACTGCCCCCCCTTCCACTCAGCCCCACCCCATTAACCCTGAGCCTTGAGAGGAAATCTGACCTTTCCACAAGTGCTTGTCAAGTACGTACATGCCTGCCTGCCTCGTGCCAGGCCCTGAGGATACAAGAACAAAAATGTCATTCCCTGCCCTCAAGGAACTTACATTCTATTAGGAGAGATAACATGTAGTTGATGCAAGATAGATTGAAAGTAACAATAAGGGGAGAGGGAGCCCACTAACCACAGAAGAAAGGTCTTATGGAGGAGGGGACGAATGACATGAGCCTAGAAGAAAATGAAGGATTCTAAGAGACAGAGGTGAGAAGGGAATTCATTTCACAAATGGGAGAATGTCTAAGCAAAGATGCAGAGATGGGGGAGGGCTGGGGTAGTGAAATGTCCTCAGGCAAGTGGGCCAGCTTTGCTGGAACACAGAGTGTATAAAGGAGAACACCATACAGTAAATCTGCTAAGGAAGCCTGAAGCTAGATTGTAAAGGCTTTAAATGTGAAACTGAGGCATGAATATTTTATCCTAGAGGCAGGAGGAAGCCCCTGGAGCTTCATGATCTAGGTAAACACAAAATATCAGGGAGCCAGGACCCAGCAGGGCAAGAACCCCAACTTACTGCTAGTCTGTTAGGATATTGCTAAGATCCTCAGGGACTCAGCTCTGCCAATTCTCACCGCTCCCTTTCCCTCAAAGTGCCATCAGGGATTCGCAGTTTCATATACAATCCTCTTCTTGAATTCTGCTATATCTACGAAAATATTCCTTTTTTGTTGCTTAAGTAAAGAATCAAAAATAAAATGTTTTTAAAGAGTCATCAGGGACAAGCTAGTCAGACAGGCACAGGAAAGATTCTCAAGTGAAATATTTCTTAACACTGAAAACAACTGGTAATCCTCCTCTGCTGATTCAATATTTCTTCTACAACCAAATTGCTTCTTGTCAGCCAAGGGTAGTTAGGGCCCAGTGGTGCATGTTAGAGAGAGATTATAAGGAATGTGGCTGGACTGAACAGCCTCATGAAAGAACACAATGTGTTTTTCACAGGCAGGGGATGAGTATGAGACCCAACCAAAACACAGTTCATGCTACAATGGAGGTGGAAGAATTTGGGGTCTGAGCTGCCGTTTTAAAACCAGAAACTTGCTCTGAAAACACCTCTGGCTAGACTGGCCTCTTCCTGGCTAGGAAAGGGGTCAGGTCTCCCAAGTCAAAGAGTTCTTTTCTGAAAAAATCAGGGCACTGGAAGGAGTCAGAAATGGAGATGAGAAGGGGAGGGGGGATGAGGCTGGGAATGAGGATGGGGATAGGGATAAAGAAGGGGAGGGGGTGAAAACAGGGTTAAGAATAAGGAAGGGGATGGGGATGAAGATAAGGATGGGAATGGGGTTAAAGATGGGGATAAGGAGGGAATGGGGATGAGGATAGGGATGGAGATAGGGATGAGGCAGGGGATGGGGATGAGTGTAAGAATGGGCATGGTAGGAGTGGCAGCCAACTCAGACTAGAAAAGAGAAAGTTTTTCTTGTCACCCTTGAGTTTAAATACAGTTTAGCAATTAAGATTTGTTGGGGTAAAGGGAGAGATGGGCACAGGGCTCAGTGGAAAGAGTGCTGGATTTGGCATCAGGATTTTAAGTTTGAATCCAGGCTCTGCTATTTGCTACCAGTATGACCTGATGGAAGTCACTTAACCTTTCTTGGCCTCAGTTTCCCCATACATAAAATGAGGGTATTGGATTAGATGCTCTCTGAGGTGCCTTCTGGCTCTAAATCCATGATTCTTTCTATTCCTCTATGGTATGTTCAGAGGGTCTCAGCATAGCTCACATCCTTTGGGGATAGGTCTCCTTCTCCTTGATACTCTCTTCTACCTCAATTTTCAAGACACTGATCCCTCTGGTTCTCCTACCTGCCTGATAGTTCCTTTTTGATGTACTTTGCTAGCTCTTCGTCCAGAGTGAGGTCTCTAACTGTAGGTGTCCCCCAGGCTCTGTCCTGGGTCCTCTTCTTTTATCCCTCAATACAGATGACTCTTAGCTCTATTCATCCAACCATACCTTCCCCTTGAATCTCCAGCTGCCTATTGGACATCTTGAACTGGATGTCCTGAAGATATCTTCATCTCAACAATATGTCCAAAACTGAACTCATCTACCCCCCAACACCCAAGCCCTTCTTTCTTCTTAACTTTCTCATTACTGTGGCAGGCACCAGTATTCTCCCAGTCACCCTGGCATGCAACCTAGTTGTTATTCTCTACTCTTCACTATCTCTTGCCCCCACCCCCCATTTTCAATCTGTTTCCAAGTCCTGCCAATTCTGCCTACATAATATCTCTTGCAAATGCTCCCTTCTTTCCTTAGACATTGATGTAGTCCATTCTCACCTTACACCAGGACTATTGAAATAACCTGCTGGCTCAGCTATCAAAGTGATCTTTCTAAAGCACAGATCTGACCATGTCAGTCCCCTCTTCCCCAATAAATTTCAGTGGTTCACCATTACCTCCAGGATCAAAATATCTTCTGTTTGCTTTTTCAAGCCCATCACAACCTAGCCCTTCCCCACCTTTCTAGTCTTCTTACATCTTTCTCCTCATCACGGTGACACTCAGCTGCTTGCTGCTTCTCACACACACAACACGCCATATCCTGATTGCATTTTCACTGGCTCTCCACCATGCTTGGAATGCTTTCCTTTCTCAGTTCTACCCTTCTGGCTTATTTCAAATCTCAGTTAAAATCCTACCTTCTGCAAGAAGCCTTTCCTGGAAAAGTCTCCTTTAATTGCTAGTGCCTTCCTGCTGAGATTATCTCCAAGTTATCCTGTATAAATCTTGCTTGGACATAATTGTTTGCATGCTGTCTCCCCTCTTGGATTGTAATCTCCTTGAGGGCAGGAACTGTTTTTGTCTTTCTTAGTATCCCCAGGGCTTAGCACAGTGCCTGGCATGTAGTAAGTACTTAATAATTCATATTGCCTTGACCTGATTTGATCCCAGTTTCCTTCACTCACCAATCTAGTGCTTTTTCCACTGTATCCTGTGCCTCTCAAGTTAAAAATCCTCTAACTAACTCAGGATAAAATTACCTCCTTGACTCTCTCCTCTGAAGTTTGTGAAATGCTCATTCCACTTATCTATTTGACCCTTGACCATCATGGTCTGCATCCATGCCCATCTCTCTCCCTTAGCCTTCAGGTTCTCCAATGGCAGACACCATGAATTTTTTTTCACCTTTACATCTCTGCCACCATCTAGCATCAGACCTTGTTCTTAGTAGGCATTTATTTTTAAAATTTTTAGTTCTGGGGGCAGCTAGGTGGTGCAGTGGATAGAGCTTTGGCCTTGGAGTCAGGAGGACCTGAGTTCAAATCCAGCTTCAGACACTTGACACTTACTAGCTGTGTGACCCTGAGCAAGTCACTTAACCCCAATTGCCTCACCAAAAAAAGCAAAAAAGAAAAAAAAATTAGTTCTGTTGGAACAGAGTAGGGCTCCCCCTATGTCCACCCAAAATGACCCAGTCACATACCCTAAAGGACAGAGTGCTGGGCGGAGGACTATACACTCTATGAATGGAAATAGTACCAGTTTCTCCCCAGGTCCATTCCTTACTGCTGGCTAGAAGACACCTACCCTTCCTGAAAATCTGATTGAAGTCCAGGAGGCTTGAAGAGAGAACATGAGATAATGGAAAGCCTGATAGATTTGGAGTCAGAGGGTCTGGATTCAAATTCTGTTACTACCTGTGTGACATTGAACTAGTCACTTAACCTCTCTGGACTTCAGTTTCCTTATCTGAAAAATAAGGGGGTTGAAATCAGTGACCTGTAAGTTCTAAGCTTCCTTACAGTTCTGTATCCATGATCATTGTAATCATAATCAGCAAACTTATTGAACATCTTACTATGGTCTCTGTACTATACTCGATACTAAGGAAAAGCTAACTCAAGGTTAAGACCTCTTGCCTGCCTTCAAGATGATGTGTAATTAACTAACAAGGCCAGGGATTTTATATGAGGTGCCCACTTACTAGTGTAGACCGTGAGTGCTCTAGGACATTAAAGAAGAGAGGGATCCCTGGGCTCTGAGCATCAGGATGTCCCTGACCTCAGGGTCCTCAATGAGTTAACAAGCTTTTTCCCTTCTTGCTGCTCCCTTACAGGTGGCCACCGACAAGGACAATGGCATCCTACTCTACAAAGGAGACAATGACCCCTTGGCACTGGAGCTCTACCAGGGGCATGTGAGGCTGGTCTATGACAGCCTGAGCTCTCCCCCCACAACAGTGTACAGGTGGGTGTAGCCTTCCTACGCAGCCGCTTCGGGCAACAGCACCAAGGATAGACTGTGAACATGGCTGTCCTCACTATACCTATGACCTTCCCAGAGAGCCAGAGGGGGAGAGGAGATGGAGGAGGAAAAAGAGGGAAAGGAGGAAGATAAACTCTCCTTGAAAGATGACACCTCATTACCATAAGATTAATGGCCAGCTGGCTACCTTTGCTCTGAGTGATCTGTTCAGATGGGGGAAGAGGCTGCTTAATGAGCTGCCCTTTTCAAAATGTCACCCTAATCTTTTATTAGTTTAAGGAAGAAAGCAGGATGGGATTAGCATGAAACTCGATGGGAAGAGATTAGAGGGAATCAGGGACCAAGGCTGCTCAAGAATACCTGGGAGTGAATTTTAAACACTAGCATCTTGCTCAAGGACAGTCTTGCTGCCTGCCTTCTCCTTTCTCCCTTCCCTTTGAAAGGAGGAGAACAGCATGTGTGTGGAGGGTGAGGAGGTCAAAGGGGAAGCTTAGCACCATCTTGTGGGTCCCTTGGCCTTTGGACAATCGCCATGAGATCATCCTGGGCCTGGGAACTATGGCTTGTATAATAATACCAATCTTAAAGGAAGGGGTAGAAGAGGAACCCATATGCTTTTGCAGAAGGAATGGTTATAGTGATTTGTAGGATTAATACAGTATTTGTAAAAGAGAAGGAAAAAAAGAATTGCCTCTTCTTGGGTGGCATTTAATACACATTTTTGAGAAGAATTAAAGCAGGGTGGGTGTCCTGTTCCCAAGATCTACCTGCCAATCCAGGGCTCTTTCCATTTCCTTTTATTGCTGGTTTTCTCCTATGTCATGACTTCAGTCCTCTAAGCACAGGACTCATGCAGCTCAGGAGAAACTTCCCAGGAATTCTAGACAGGAAAATGCCTTTGCTTCTATCACCTCTGGACATTTACTAGCTGTGTGACCCTGGGCACATAATGTAACCTCGCTGTGCCTCAGTATGCCAATATGTAAAATGAGAGCATTGGATTCAAGTCAACAAACATTTGTTAGGCACCTACTGTGGGCCAGGCACTGTGCTAAGCACTTGGGGTTCAAAGAAAAGCAAAAACAGTCCCTGCTCTCAAGGTGCTCGCAGTCTTATTAGTAGTGGAGCTCTCAAGTTCCTTCCAGCTCTAATTCTGTGATCTCACGAATAAACTGTTAGGCCAGGCTGCCCTATCTAAGGCCCTGGTCACATATTTTCCCCAGCTCTCTGTAACAAGCCCATTAAATGGGTTTCAGGAAGCAACACTATATGGGAAGGGGAAAGAAGGAAGGAGTGCCAGACATGGGTAAGGACGTGGACATGAAAGCATGGATCTAAAGGGAACAAGTGGCATGTGAGGAGGAATGCTATACCCACTAAAAAGACCCAGCACAAGCAGAAGGAGTCACCTGATGGTGATGTGCCCAGTGGTAACCAACCACTCTGGACTTAGTATTAGCAAACTTCCCCCACTGAAATGGGTCCTCCCAGCCAGTCAGCTCTTTGTAAATGAGAAGAGCATAAAATATAATGCAAAATAAGCCCACCTTCAGAATGCATTTTAGAAGCTTCAAGAAATGCTAATGGAGGGTTTATCACAAGTTTCCAACAGATGAATCTGATTTCTCCTGGTCCGCTCATCAGCTTCTCTCTGCTCATTCTTTCCCAGAACTCATCAGGGTAATGGTAAATGTCATGCTCCTGCCTCACTTCCCTGACACTAATCCTGCCCTCTCTACCACCCCCACCTCAGAGTCTGCCCTGTGCCACCAGAGGACTTCAGGGGTTAGGACTATTTGCAATTCATTTACTTCCCTAGCCTGTTTACCAGTATAGTCTGTGGCACTGCAGGCCCACTCACCCAGCATATATGGCAGCGAGTGCCAGAGAAAGATGAGCTTCTGCTGGTTTGACATCACAAAATCAGAATCTCAGAATCAGAAGAGGACCTCAGAGGTAATGTAGGTGATTTAGGTCAGTCTCCTGCATGAAATAGAGTCCATGCTACTGCACCCCCAGCAAGTGGCTGCCATCTAGCTTTGGCCCTCCAGTGAGGTAGGACCCCTCCCTCCCAGCCAGCCTGTCCTACCTTGGGAAAGTTGGTTGTTAGCAGGTTTTTCTTTAGAGTGAATCTAACCCCCCCCCGCGCCCCACCATTGTTCCCGGTTCCATCCTGGGGAGCCAGACAGAACAAACTGAATCCTTCCCTGGGGCAGCCTTTCAGGTACCTCCTGGCCACCCCTGTTATGTTCCCCCTGAGTCTTCTTCTCTCAAAGCTGAATTGCCCCACTTTCCTCAGTCCTCACGTGGCATAGATAATGCCCTTCCCCTTCCTTCTGCAGTAGTTGCCCTCCTAGACATCCTCAAGCCTATCAGGGTCTTTGCTAAAGTGTGGAGCTCAGAGACAGTGGAAAGAGTGCTGGCTGTGGATTCAGGGGACCTGGGTTCAAATCCTGCCTCATACTTATTACCTGGGTGACCCTGAGCAAGTCACATGACCTCCTTGGGCTTCAGTTCTCTCCATTGTAAAATGAGAGGATTGACTAAATGGCCTCTGTGGTCCATTTTGGCTTTAGATCTATAATCCCATAAGAACCTAGCACAATACTCAACATATGGTCTAACCAGGGCAGGGTAGAAGACGGTATATTGTTGCCTAATCCTTTCACCCTGTTTTTTTGGCTGCCATGTTACACTATTGACTTCTCTGACCTTATAACTCTAAAACCCCAAGATCTTTTTCAGACTAACTGCTCTCAGATCAGGCCTCCCCATTTTGTGATTGTAGAGCAGATTTTTTAACCCCAATGGAAGGAATTTTATTCCTATTAAATTTCAATCAGTCAACAAGTAGTTCTTAAGCACTTAATATGTACCAGGAACTATGCATACACTGGAGAAAAAAAAGAGATGCCATCCTGTATATTAGCCAACCCTCCTAGCTTTGTGTCATATGCAAATCTGATAAGGATAGAGATTATGCCTTTATCCAAGTCATTGAATAAAGGACATTAAATAGCACAGTGCCAAGCACAGATCCTTGGGGTGCTTCATTGAATACCTCCTTTCAAGTTAACATCTAACTCTTTGAATCCAACCACTCCACCAGTTCCAAATCCACATAACTATACCATTGTCTATATCCCATATCTGTCCATCTTTTCTACAAGAATAGCAACAGAAACTTTATTATCAATGGCATAAGATACTTCTCACAAGCAGCACAACGGTTCAGGCAGTAAAGCACCAAGCATTTATCAATTTCTTACTATATGCCAGGACCTGTGCTAAGTGCTAGGGATACAAATACAAGCAAAAAGAAAGATAATCTCTTCCCCCTAGACAGCTTACATTCTAATGGGGGAAGACAACACATAAAAGAGAGCTGAAAAGGGAGGGAGGGTTACATCCATGATGGAACATGGTAGCAAAGACCTAGAAGTTTGAAACACAGCTGGAAGTGAATGAAGCATGGTTGGCTTTAACCAGTACCCAAAATGGAGGCCCCTGGAAGGAACTCACCAATGGAAGAAGCATTTTAGCAAGGCAGAGGCATGTACTAGAGTGAATAGTCAGCTGAGTCATAGTGTCAAAATCTAGAGGAAGTCCAGTGAGGTAAGGGTGAACCTGAATTTCATTGTAGAAAGAGTTCCAGGTTAACAGAAGATCTGTGTGTATATCTTCATCTCACTGTATAAACTTAGGGAAGTCACATACCCAGTGTATACCTCAGTTCCCTTAACTATAAAATGGAAATAATACTTGCCTACCTACCTCCCAAGTTTTGGAAGAGGTTCAAGAGAGGAAATAGATATGTGCTTTGAAAAGCTGAGAACATAATACAAATGTAAAGGATTAGTGTTGACTAGAAAGAAATGAGCCTTCCTTCTCCTGACTCTGGGGCAGTGATGACCATTTTCCATTTGCCAACCAGGCACTGCCATGATTGAGGCAAGTCCTTGGGAAGTTTGGCCCCAGAGAGGCTCAGCCTTTTGCTTATTTGAGCTAATGACTAGTTTCTGTATTTTGGGGTCAGAAATTACTTAGAGTAACCACCAGTGCCTCTTTTTAAAGCATGGCTCCCCCTTCACTAGCTAGACTCCTTCAAGACAATTCCCCCTGAGTGGTTTTAGAGGTTGCACCCACTAGAGCCCTCCCCTGCAAAGAGGCTGAAAGAGACCTGAGAGCAGGTTTGTCTGTCTGGGGAGACACTAGAGAGAGCCCTGAACTCAGAGTCCTAAGCGACCTTAAGGATCTGGATTCACACCCCAGTTCAAATCCTTAAAACCTCTGTGCCTTTGGGCAAGTCAATTTAGCCTCAGTTTCTTCATCTTTAAAGTGAGATTTGGGGCCAGATGCTCTCAGTGGAGCCCTTTGAGCTCTAAATCCCCCGGTCCTATAAATGCTTTCTCTACAGAGTGAGGGAGTACCTGCTTTTGTGTCTCTTCTTGGAGCCTCTCGGTTCATTTCACTCAGGAACATACAGTGGGAGGCAGAGGCTTGGCCACATGGGAGACTTCTGCCTAGGGGTGGTATAGTCCCTGTTATTTCTAGCTAAGGACTTAAATGAACCATTTTATTATTGATACTCCAAGTCCTCAAACCTCCCTCCGCGGGGCTTTCTGAGGAGGGCAACCCCATTGGATTCACCAGTAGTCACAAGTTTCCTTGCAAATCCATTGCTAGTGCTTTAACGCTGCTGCTGGGGGGGGGGGGTGGATCTGAAGCCAATGATGGAAAAGAGGTCTCAGGGCTGTGTTAGTGGCCTCCTTACCTCCTAGCCTCACTTGGCAAAGGACTGCAGGGAGGAGGAGGAAGCAGAGAACTATGTGTGGTCTGTGCAAGGAAAAAAAAATGGAAATGTCGAGGCTATGAATGGAAGCAATGAGCAGAAAGAAATCGGGGCATACCCCAGGGGTGATGCATTCCTAAGGACTGCTCTGTTTGTAGGGGCCAGTGCCTGATGTGTAACAAGCGCTTCA